CTGCTAGGTAGAGGCATTGATTTACCTGAGGTTCTAAGTATGGACATTGAAATATATAATATTTATATGTATATATGTGTGTGCATGTGTGTGTAAGAAGAATTTATAAACTAACAGAAAAATAAATAGAATGGGAAAGCTAAAACAGCAAAGAACTGACCAGACCCAGAAGAGACTAATTTGTTGAGACCAAAGGTTTGGTAAACAATTCAAGCTACTCATCAGGGGGAGAGCTTGGGGGCACGAACAACAGAGGCCAGTCCCAAGGGTGCAGAGGGAGATGGGAAATAGGTCAGGCTCTGTAGAGGCCCATTCACATGTGAAAAGTTGAGGAGAAGGTGCATTGGGCTCTCACAACAAACTGGGACCATCTATAGAGTGATGAATCATGCCACCATAACAAACATTCTGCCCATTCTTCAAAGTGAGACCTTGGCCCTGGGCGTCTCCAAGTGCTTTGTCAGGGAATTAGGGGCTTGGCCAATACAGTCAATAGATTCAGCTCTGCCCAGGTCTGTTATTGGCTTGGGATGCTCAGGGCTACAAAGCCACTCCCTGCTCTACAGCAGGGTATTCCAGGAGGAAATAGGGCCTGGAATCAGAATGTACCAACAGGGCCCAAGAGGACAAGATATGCCTTAGCTCCTGCTCCCAGCTCGCAAATCATACTACTATCTTGGGGGTGGGTGACTTGGCCCTTCCCTGTCCTGAGGACACCCTAGCCATGCCTTGGTCAGTCTTGTACCTCCTTCTGGTGAGCTTAGGAAATGGGATTTACCCAAAGAAGAGGAATCTGTTCAAGCATACAGGAATCTAGCCTAAGCTTTCGAAACTGAAAGCCACATCTGCACAGGAGTGAATTCACCAAATGGTGGCACTTTTCTTTGAGGGGTCCTGGGACATGGTTAATAATTACAACTGTAGACAGTTACTGAGCATTCTGTGTCCAATATCATGCAAGTCAGCTACATATATGCTCTTGTCATCTTGATTGATACATCTATAAGGAAATTGAAGCTCAGAGAGGTGAAGATACTTGACCAGAGTTGAGATTCTAACCCAGGTATATTACCACCAGGAACAGAGCTACATCAATGCTCACCCCAGGTCTACCCAAAGCCCATGTCCACCAGCGTTCTCTAGGCCAAATTCTGGACCTCACCCTTTAACCAGGCAGGACTATTCCTTTAGGATGCTATACAAAAAGCAAGAGGCAAAGTGCAGAAAGTCTCCTTGTAGCTCACTGTGCTGAGCCCAGCCAGGAAACCAAGACCTCAGGAAACCCTGTCGCTGGTGGTCTGGGCTGAAGCTTCTTATTGTCCTGGAAACAATGACCTCAGTGACTAATAGGGCCCTCATTTAGGAATTTGGCACTGGCTGCTTTTTACCCTCATTGGTGAAGTCCTACATGCAGTTCTTAACCCACTCAGTGCTAGGCAAGCCAGGACAGCTGATCACCTTAGCAAAAAGACAAGTTGGATACACACACAGCACCACCCAGAATTCAGTCAAAATTAGTGTGGCACAGAGTTTAAGTGCCGTGAACTATGGTCTGAGAGCAGGGATCTCAGCCCTGGGCTGTAGCTGACTCATGACCTTCAAAAAAGCACTTCCCTCCAGGAGCTTCAGTTCCCCCATCTGACAGGTGAGGACATTCCAGTTCTGTGGAGGGTGAGGTGACATCATCCAATTAGTGCAAACAAGGCAGTGCAAAGTGCACCACCTCTTGAGAAGCAATTTGGCAAAATCTGGCATCCTTTCCCACACTTTCTTATCCCTTGGGACTTACAATTCCAAGGTAATAGCTCAAGGGAAATAGAAAAGTTCTCTGCAGAAACATGTGCATTGAAGGACTATCTATCATGGCAAAGCAACCTCAACACTACAACAAGAAGCAGTGAACTAGGGATGCTACATCCACTAGGAGGGATCAAGTACTGCAGTCATTAGAAAGGTCCACAGGCTCTTGGGGCAATTTAAACCAGCTTGGGAAAGGCAAGGCTACATGGCCCAAATGAAAACATGAAAAGGTGTTGCTGCAGAGAAAGACTAATGGAAAAGGGAAAGATGGTAATAATAGTTGCACTGCTTGGTAAGATCAGATGTAAATATTTCTGCATTTTGTCAGGTGGTGTACACCACTATGATATACTTTTCACACACACACACAAAGGAATAAATGAGAAAACTTTAGCTGTAGTCTCCACAGCTGATCTTGGGATTAAATCAGTCAGCCATGTTCTGATTGGTGCCCATGCAGCCCAAGGGCCTGTGAGCCTTGCTGGATGTCCCTGTGCTGCCCAGAAATGGCCTGCATTGCAGCAATTGCCAGGAAACACAGATGGAGCCAGGACTCCTGACATTTAGGCCAGTGTATCTCTCACTACCAGCCTTCATCCCTTACGCTCTCTATTGTGCTGACAATGTCCACACCTGGTACACTGGTCAGAGATTTAGGCTGCAATCAAAGAAACCAATTCTGGCTGATTTGGACAGAAAAGGAATGTATAAGAATATTATCAGAGAACCAAGATGGCGGCATAGGTTAACGCCGGAGTTTGCTGCCTCGAACAACCACTTCAAAAGTGAAACTAAAAGACGGAACTGACATCACCCAGAACGACAGGAACGCAGCTGAGTGGAAGTCCTACAACTAGGAGGAAAGAGAAACGCATACCGACACTCAGAGGAGGCGCAGTGCTGAAGTCAAATACTGAGGTGCGGAGTGCATGCAGAGCGGGCTGGTGGCTGAGGGCGCGGTTGGCATTTTTAATCGGAGGGAGTCGCAGACTCTGAGCTCCAGATACAGGCGAGTCTTTAGGGACCCAGACTCTAACGGGAGAAGCGGGACTGTCTGGCTTCGGTCAGAGCGAGTGCAGCTTTCTCTCCGAGGTTTGCAGCGGTTGCTGGGACTTGGAGAGGCAGAGCCCCTGGGGACAGGACTGAGAGAAGCCATAACTGCTCCCTCCGGCCCACCCTGCTGATCCCATGCGACCCACCTGCCCCGCCCAAGCCCTGCACAGAGGCATTTGCCGGATAGCCTCAGGCAAACGCCAGATTAGCACATCCCTAGAGGACAGAAGTTCTCTCACTGCAGACACAGCTGATTCTCACAGCCACTTGGCCTGGAGGTCAAATCCCCCCTAGTATTAGCTACAACAATCAAGGCTTAACTACAAGACTGCACACAAAGACCACTAGGGGGTGCACCAAGAAAGCATAACAAAATATGGAGACAAAGAAACAGGACAAAATTGTCAATGGAAGATTTAGAGTTCAGAACCACACTTTTAAGGTCTCTCAAGAACTGTCTAGAAGCCGCCGATAAACTTAATGAGATCCTCGAGAAATCTAATGAGACCCTCGATGTTGTGATAAAGGACCAACTAGAAATTAAGCATACACTGACTGAAATAAAGAATACTATACAGACTCCCAACAGCAGACCAGAGGAGCGCAAGAATCAAGTCAAAGATTTGAAATGCGAAGAAGCAAAAAACACCCAACCAGAAAAGCAAAATGAAAAAAGAATCCGAAAATACGAAGATAGTGTAAGGAGCCTCTGGGACAGCTTCAAGCGTACCAACATCAGAATTATAGGGGTGCCAGAAGATGAGAGAGAGCAAGATATTGAAAACCTATTTGAAGAAATAACGACAGAAAACTTCCCCCACCTGGTGAAAGAAATAGACTTACAGGTCCAAGAAGCGCAGAGAACCCCAAAAAAAAGGAATCCAAAGAGGACCACACCAAGACACATCATAATTAAAATGCCAAGAGCAAAAGACAAAGAGAGAATCTTAAAAGCAGCAAGAGAAAGAAACTCAGTTACCTACAAGGGAATACCCATATGACTGTCAGCTGATTTCTCATCAGAAACTTTGCAGGCCAGAAGGGAGTGAGAGAAATATTCAAAGTGATGAATACCAAGAACCTACAACCAAGATTACTTTATCCAGCAAAGCTATCATTCAGAATTGAAGGTCAGATAAAGAGCTTCACAGATAAGGAAAAGCTAAAGGAGTTCATCACCACCAAACCAGGATTATATGAAATGCTGAAAGGTATCCTTTAAGAAGAGGAAGAGGAAGAAAAAGGTAAAGATACAAATTATGAACAACAAATATGCATCTATCAACAAGTGAATCTAAGAATCAAGTGAATAAATAATCTGATGAACAGAATGAACTGTTGATTATAATAGAATCAGGGACATAGAAAGGGAATGGACTGACTATTCTTGGGGGGGAAAGGGGTGTGGGAGATGCGGGAAGAGACTGGACAAAAATCGTGCACCTATGGATGAGGACAGTGGGTGGGGAGTGAGGGCGGAGGGTAGGGTGGGAACTGGGAGGAGGGGAATTATGGGGGGGGAAAAGAGGAACAATGTAATAATCTGAACAATAAAGATTTAATTAAAACTGAAAAAAAAGATTATCGAGTAGCTCACATACTTTTTTTTTTTAATATATTTTATTGAGTTTTTACAGAGGAAGGGAGAGAGATGGAGAGTTAGAAACATGGATGAGAGAGAAACGTCGATCAGCTGCCTCCTGCACATCTCCCACTGGGGATGTGCCCGCAACCCAGGTACATGCCCTTGACCGGAATCGAACTTGGGACCTTTCAGTCCGCAAGCCAACGCTCTATCCATTGAGCCAAACCGGTTTCAGCAGCTCATAGACTTTAGAAACAATTAGACACAAGCATTAAAGGAAAAGAAGACATTGACCAAATAATGTTGAGAAGCCAAGAACACAGCCAAATTCCAGAGGAAAAATATGGAGAAGCTAGGCTATTATAAAGGTTTGGCTTGAGTGGCTTCTCACAATGTTCCCATTCTGGAAAACCTATTGCCCACAACCCCAAAAAGACCCAGACCCAGGATGCTGCCTTCCCCAGATAGGCCGCTGAGTCTATGCCTAAGGACTCCACTGCCCCAGGCATACATGACTCAGTGAGGGCACCAAATGCTCACCTTTCAAATTTATTCTTTTTAGGGCAACATGTGGACATATCCTGGTTCCAAGTGGCCCACATTAAAGAGGATGGGATACTCATGGAGAAGCCAGCCAGTGTGGAGCCACATTACATAGTCCTGGAGAACCCTAGCTTCTCCCCCATAGGCGTTCTACTGAGAATGATCCAGACAGCCCTGAGCATTCGTGTCATCGCCAATGTGTTGCTCTACTATCACCGCCAACCCGAGGAAGTCAACTTCCACCTCTACTTAATCCCCAGCGACTGCACCATTAGAAAGGTTGCCCCGATAGCTGGAAAGGGCAGGCCAGGATGGGCTGACAGAGACATGACATGGATTCAGAGAGCTTCCTAGATGGGTCAACTGGGCTTAAGTTTGGGACATGGACTGGTCTCCTGTACCCCAGGTCTCCCTCACCTGGGCTCACTGCTTCACTACCCATTGCTAGACACCTTTTGCAGTTCTTTCCAGGAGTCAGAAGGATGGGAGGGCTCCCTGCCCAGAGCTGGAGCCACTCCTCCATTCTCAATTCTTCTCTAGCAATGCCCCAATTCACACCCTGAACACAGCACTGGCCAAGTGTGGGGATCTCTGTGTAGCAGTCATTGGGGTGGGAGAGTTCATGGGTGGTATAACCGCTTCACCCACATAAATATGTGGAAACACCACATAAAAACTCTTCTTTCTTAATCAGTGTCTGTATTCCCTTTAGGCCATAGATGATGAAGAAAAGAAGTTCCAGTTTTTTCAAATACGCAAGTCGGCCATGCAGCCACATCTCCACATGGGCTTCCAATATACTGTGTCTGGTTCAGACAAGTTGGAAATAATCCCTGAGGTGAGCAGTCTAGATATCCCCTCCCTGCTGAGAGGTCATGCTGGGAATAGCTGTGAGGCAGGTTTCAGAGCTTCCCTAGGGGCAGGCCCATTTAGGGTTTGGCAGACAGCGAGTGGAATTTTGGGTAAGCAGGAATGCTTCAAAGATTGGGAGAAAGGAGGATAGTAAGAGGCAGGTTCATATTCAGGATAGGGATAACAGTGGGTTTGACTTAGGGGAACTGGAAGTGTTGGGCTATAGGGTGTTGATGCTCTTCAAGCAAAACCAACAGGAACACACCTGTAGCTGAACACAGTGGGGTTATTACTCATTGCAGTGAGAGAACACACACCAATGAGAACCATAGCACCCCCTCATCAAGAGATGCGGAAAGAACCTATTTCAGGATTTGGGCCTTAGTTGAGTAATTTTGGCGAAGATCTAAGGAAATGAAGATTTGGTCTAGATCTGGTATTGTCAGAAGGAAGGGCAATTCTATGATTGGGAACCTCTACACATTTTCTCTCTAAGAAGGAAAAGCACCACAATTGTGAAGGTTTAATTGCTGAAATAGCTCATTTTGAAGTGGAATGGGGCAAAGTTTAGCTATTGTGAGATTGTATGTGGATAACACAGCAGAGATGGCAGCATCAGATTAGTTTGTAATAAGAATGAGGTCTAGTTTTGAGTGTCACATCAGGTCTGGGCATCAGGAGCTGTCTTCTATCCTTTCTCAGTCTCCCCTTTTCACCAAAGGGAATGAAGTCAGGCCACTGGACATTCATCCATGATATCCAAATGTTCACCATTGCCAAGATTTGTTGCTTAGGGTCATATTTTCAACAGAATGGTAGTTTGTAGTTCAACCAGGGTCAATCTTTTTTTTTCCCCTTCTGTTCTGAGATGAGTCCTTGGACCACTTTAAAGTGACAGTGACGGATGGTTTACATTCTCCGAAGTAAGGAGAAAGAATTATATAACTTTTAAGTTGAGAAACATGAATCCAACCATAACTACCTTAGATTTTCCTGCTGCGTAAGATCTTAACAAGGGATGAGAGACATGATTCACTCATTCACCACACATTTACCCAGTGCCAACCATGTGCTGTCTTAATTTGTGATAGTCCAGTGAACAAGACAGAAAGGCCCTGCCCTTGGGAAGATGACCTTCTGGTGGATGAGACCAACATAATTAAAGAAATGGACCTAGAACCATGAAGTGCTGTGAAGAAAACAACCATGACACTTAAGAGAGTGACTTGAGCTGCTTTATACTGGGTGGTCAGGGAGGAGCTGCTGAGCAGTGACATATAAGCTGAGACCTGAGTGACAAGAATGGCCCTAGGAGGTGAATATCTGTAACAGAGCACTTCAGGTCCAGAGGATAGAGGAGCAGGCACCCTTGATCCCTCCACATGACAAATAGGACAGTGTGGCAGAGCTTAATGAGTGTAGCAAAGGGAGAAGTTAGGTGGGGTCACACAAGAGACAGAGGTTTCCTAGGGCCCATCAACTATGTTGCCCTGATATGGAGTTTGGATTTTGTTCTAAGTGCAATGATAAGATCTCAGAGGTTGTTGCTTGGTAATACAAGACCTGCTTTAGTTTCATATAGTTGCCTCTGGCTGCTGGGTAAGAATGGGTGATAAGAAGACAAGAGTGAAAACAAAAGACAAATCAAAGGACCATTGCTATGGTACCTGCAGGAGCTGCAGATGCCTTGATTAGGGAAAAAGTAGCTGAGATGAAGATAAATTAATGGGTTAAGGGTGTATGTTGCAAGTATAGTATAGCCCATAGAACTTGACTTATAAGAGAGAAAACTAAAAAAATAAAAAGAAGGAGAAAAAGAGAGAGAGAAAGCTAAGAATTAAAGATGATGCCTTAATATGGAATATGGATATTCAGTGGTGGTAGTGCCATTTACTGCATGTGGGGAAACGGAAGGGAACATTTTTGGAAGACAGTTGAGAATCAAGAGTCGACTTGAATGTGATTTAGAAAAGGGGATGGATATAAATTTTCTGTTGATTAAAAGTGGGTCAAGCTGGGATATGGGAGTGGCCAGGGAAAGGTTAATGCGGGAGGGCAGGGGAGGAGACATATGTAATACTTTAAACAATAAAGAATTCAAATTTTAAAAAAAAATACATAATAGCCCTAGTGGTTTGTCTCAGTGGATAAATGGAACAAAGGGTCCCAGGTTAGATTTCGGTCAAAGGCACATGCCTGGGTTGTGGGCTCGGTCCAATGTGCAGGAGGCAGCCGATCAATGGTTCACTCTCATCATTGATGTTTCTATCTGTCTCTTTATCTCCCTTCCTCTCTGAAATCAATAAAAATATATATTTTTTAAAAATACATAATACTTGGTAATGATAATAAACTACTATGCTACTATCTGTTTTTTAAAAAGTATGTCAAGCTTAGGATCCATGAAGAAGACAGGCTTTGGGCTGGAGAAATGAGAATTTGGGTTCAAGATGGAGGAGGTGGAGGAAGAAGGATCTGCTTCAACATGGAGGGAGAAGGATCTGGTTTAAGATGTGTGAGCACTACGTTAGAGATGAGTCCTGATTCATCCATGGGGTACCCAGCCATGTCCTCTTACTTCTGAGTTGGGATTTGTGAAAAATGAGGAAGAGAGCAGAGCCTGAGGTGGCATTAATTTCAGTAGAGATCATTCAAGGATCCCCATGGGCTAAGCAGGACCAAGAAGGTGTCAGGTGGGAAGACACCTCACTTGCAGGATGAATGGTGCAACATCACCACTTTTTCTACAGGAACTGGAACTCTGCTATCGAAGCCCTGCGAAACCCCAGGTCTTCTCTGAGTTCTATGTTCATCATTTTGGATCGGGGATCCGGCTGCAGATTAAAAGCAAAATTGATGAGACTGTGGTATGGAAGGCCTTGGTGAAATCAGGTAAAGTCAAAACATGTCCATATAGAGAGAACCAAGATGGCGGCATAGGTTAACGCCGGAGTTTGCTGCTTTGAACAACTACTTCAAAAGTGAAACCAAAAAACGGAAAGGACATCACCCAGAACCACAGGAACGCTGGCTGAGTGGAAGTCCTACAACTAGGAGGAAAGAGAAACGCATACGGACACTCAGAGGAGGCACAGTGCTGAAGTCAAATTCTGAGGTGCGGAGTGCGAGGAGCAGGCTGGCGGCGGAGGGCGTGGTTGGCGTTTTCAATCGGGAGGGAGTCGCAGACTCTGAGCTCCAGATCCGGGCGAGTCTTTAGGGACCCAGACTCAAACGGGAGAAGCGGGGCTGTCTGGCTTCGGTCAGAGCGAGTGCAGCTTTCTCTCTGAGCTTTGCAGCGGGTGCTGGGACTCAGAGAGGCAGAGCCCCTGGGGACGGGACTGAGAGCCGCCATAACTGCTCTCTCCGGCCCACCCTGTTGATCCTGTGCGACCCGCCCCGCCCAAGCCCTGCACAGAGGCATTTGCCGGATAGCCTCAGGCAAAGGCTAGATTAGCACCTCCCTAGAGGACAGAAGTTCTCTCACTGCTGACACAGCTGATTCTCATAGCCACTTGGCCTGGAGGTCAAACCCTCCCTGGAATTAGCTACAACAATCAAGATTTAACTATAAGACTGCGAACAAAGACCACTAGGGGGTGCACCAAGGAAGCATAACAAAATGCGGAGACAAAGAAACAGGACAAAATTGTCAATGGAAGATATAGAGTTCAGAACCACACTTTTAAGGTCTCTCAAGAACTGTTTAGAAGCCGCCGATAAACTTAATGAGATCTACAAGAAAACTAATGAGACCCTCGATCTTATATTGGGGAACCAACTAGAAATTAAGCATACACGGACTGAAATAACGAATATACAGACTCCCGACAGCAGACCAGAGGACCGCAAGAATCAAGTCAATGATTTGAAATGCGAGGAAGCAAAAAACACCCAACCAGAAAAGCAAAATGAAAAAAGAATCCAAAAATGTGAGGATAGTGTAAGGAGCCTCTGGGACAGCTTCAAGCGTACCAACATCAGAATTATAGGGGTGCCAGAAGAAGAGAGAGAGCAAGATATTGAAAACCTATTTGAAGAAATAATGACAGAAAACTTCCCCCACCTGGTGAAAGAAATGGACTTACAGGTCCAAGAAGCACGGAGAACCCCAAACAAAAGGAATCCAAAGAGGACCACACCAAGACACATCATAATTAAAATGCCAAGAGCAAAAGATAAAGAGAGAATCTTAAAAACAGCAAGAGAAAGAAACTCAGTTACCTACAAGGGAATACCCATACGACTGTCAGCTGATTTCTCAACAGAAACTTTGCAGGCCAGAAGGGAGTGGCAAGAAATATTCAAAGTGATGAATACCAAGAACCTACAACCAAGATTACTTTATCCAGCAAAGCTATCATTCAGAATTGAAGGTCAGATAAAGAGCTTCACAGATAAGGAAAAGCTAAAGGAGTTCATCACCACCAAACCAGGATTATATGAAATGCTGAAAGGTATCCTTTAAGAAGAGGAAGAGGAAGAAAAAGGTAAAGATACAAATTATGAACAACAAATATGCATCTATCAACAAGTGAATCTAAGAATCAAGTGAATAAATAATCTGATGAACAGAATGAACTGTTGATTATAATAGAATCAGGGACATAGAAAGGGAATGGACTGACTATTCTTGGGGGGGAAAGGGGTGTGGGAGATGCGGGAAGAGACTGGACAAAAATCGTGCACCTATGGATGAGGACAGTGGGTGGGGAGTGAGGGTGGAGGGTGGGGTGGGAACTGGGAGGAGGGGAGTTATGGGGGGAAAAAAAAGAGGAACAAATGTAATAATCTGAACAATAAAGATTTAATTTTAAAAAAAAAAAAAAAAAAAACATGTCCATAGAGCTCAGTGGTGGGAAACAGATAGTCAATAAAATATTCTGCCTGTGTGTGTGTGTGTGTGTGTGTGTGTGTGTGTGTGTGTGAGCACAATTTGCTGATGAGAAGAAATAGCCCAGAGAAGTTATGCGATTTTTTTTTCTAGGTACATAACAGTTGGTGTGACTAGAATTTGAATTAAAGTTTGTCTGCCCTAACTGGTTTAGCTCAGTGGATAGAGTGTCGGCCTGTGGACTGAAGGGTCCCAGGTTCGATTCCGGTCAAGGGCATGTACCTTGGTTGCGGGCACATCCCCAGTAGGGGGTGTGCAGGAGGCAGCTAATCGATGTTTCTCTCTCATCGATGTTTCTAACTCTCTATTCCTCTCCTTTCCACTCTGTAAAAAAATCAGTAAAGTTGGTCTGACTCTGAGCTCCATTCCCTCTCCCGTGCACTGTTCAGTGTCTCTATACTGCCCTTGATTTAACAGATTTTGACCCACAAGGCATTTGGCAAAATTTATCATAATTGATTGGATATGAGATGAAAAAATAAGAAATAGACAGTTATATGGTTGTATGAATTAAGCCCATTATGACAACAGCACATATACTAACTTGGATCACTCAGATATTTTCAAAGTAGACAAGAGGGAATCAAATAATGAACTTTCAGGAATGAATGTAACTTTTCAGTGTCTTAAACCAGCACCAACACGCCCAAGAAGCAAAATCCCTCAAAAGTCCTTCTAGGGCCCGCTGGTGTTGCTCAGTGGGTAAGGGTCAATCCATGAATCAGGAGGTCATGGTTCGATTCCCAGTCAGGACACATACCCAGGTTGTGGGCTTGATCCCCAGTAGGGGACATGCAGGAGGCAGCCTATCAATGATTCTCTCTCATCATTGATGTTTCTAATTCTCTCTCACCCTTACTCTCTCTTCAATCAATAATAAAAACAGGTTTTAAAAATAAAAGTCCTTCTAGGAAAAAGCAGATCATGTTCAATGTTAAAGCCTAGTGAATCTGGCCCCCGCCAGTGTAGGTCAGTAGTTAGAGTGTCAGCCCATGGACCAAAGGGTCGCAGTTTAATTCCCTGTCAAGGGTAGATACCTGGGTTGTAGGATCCATCCCTGGCCCTAGTCAGGGTGCTTGTGGGATGCAACCAATCAATGTATTTCTCTCATATTGTTGATTCTCTCTCATTCTCTCTTCTCTCTCTCTCTCTCTCTCTCTCTCTCTCTCTCTCTTTCCTCCCTCCCTTCCACTCTCTCTGGAAATTAATGGGAAAAATAGCCTCAGGTGAGGATTAACAACAAAAAATATATATAGTGAATCTGCCTCCTGAGGTGCCACAACAGGCTTTCCAGGGAGGAGAAAGATAATGGTCTTTACTCTTCTTGGCTTGGGCGCAATCACAGGTGTGGACTAACCAGCCCCAGCATCAGACCTCCTTTGAATCTCACTCTGGCACTTACTTGCTGGGTGATCTTGGGAAAATGACTTCACCCTTTTGAGTGTCAGATTCCTCATTTATAAAAAGAGGGTCATATGGCCTAACTTGTAGGATTATTGCAAAGATTAAATAAATTATATACATCAAGCATGTCAAACTCAAAGGCTAACATGGGCCAAATAAAGAAGAAATGTAGATTTATTTCTATCGAGACTTCTGAATACTAAGAACTAAAATAAATGAGAAATTGTTACTATAAAATAATAGAATATATTAATAAAATTTAATATTTTTTCTTGAACATTAACTTACCAGACACTGAATAACTGCCAAATTAATAAGTGTAATGCAAACAAACCTATTTTTCTTGTTCTCCGAAAGCAAAATATTTCCTGTTGTGCACATCAAACAAGTTAGTCCAAGAATAATGACGTGGCAGTCAGCTGCTAAAATATTCGCTGCTAGTATTAGTGGAGAGAAATTGTGCACCTATGGGTAAGACAAGTAAGGGTAATGAATGCAACACGATTATGTAATCAGTCATTAGCGAACGTTGTAGTTCGTCATTAATAATTATGTATAACAGGATATTGTAAAAATTAAGTTACGAAATTTTTATTAAAATGTTTCTTACATACCGTTATATTGGCTGGGCCACAAAAATATTCGTTGGGGGCTGCATGTGGCCTGCGGGCTCTGAGTTTGACATCTTTGATGTACATGCATATCTCATGCAGTGGTCCTTATAAATCAGGGATGGGGAACCTTTTTTCTGCAAGGGCCATTTGGATATGTATAACATCATTTGTGAGCCATATAAAATTATCAAGTTAAAAATTAGCCTACTGCCCTAGCCAGTTTGGCTCAGTGGGTAGAGCATCCGCCCATGGACTAAAGGGTCCTAGATTTGATTCCAGTCAAGGATATGGACCTCAGTTGCAGGCTCTATCCCTGGACATGGTCGGGGCCCATGTTTCTCTCTGTCTCTCCCCCTCCCTTCCACTCTCTCTAAAAATCAATAGAAAAATATCCTCAGGTGAAGATTAACATGCACAAAAATTAAAAAATAGCCTGCTATTTTTGGTCAAACATTTAATTAACTCACCCCTAATGCCTTGGCAGGGACAGACCAAATGATTTCATGGACTTATACAGCCCATTGGCTAGACATCCCCTACCCTTGTTATTAATAGTAGCAGTGTTATAATTTATCTTTATGTTAAATGATCTCCTTAATCCTGCTCTTTGGAGCTGACAAAAGAATTTATTTCCAGCCCCCATGGGAAGGCCCTTCAGGTACGTGAAGATAGATCGTAGCCTCCCTTAAGTCTCCTCCTGTGCAAGTTAAACATCTCTATTTTCTTCCATCATTCCTCTTACATTTTGGATTTTAACATCTTTGCCTCCTCAGTAGATGTGCCCATTTGAGGACGAGTCAGGATAGACTCTAAGACTGTCCAGTCAGCATGGAGGACATGGGACACCCTCCTCCCTCCATCCAAGTGAACCCTCTGCTCCCAACACCACAACTGGAGCTCCCCTGTGTTTGGCTTCCCTTCCACACTGTCAGGTCACACTGAACTTGGGTCAGCTCAAAACCTCAGGCCGTGTCCACAGGGGCTGCTGTGGACTCCCCCTTCCTCTCCACATGCAAGTAATTATTTAATCCCCTTTTTGTTGTTGTTGTTGTTTGCTTGTTTCCATTGAAATTTACCTATTACTCTGAATTGCTAAGATTTTCTTGATGTTAATTCTTGATTCTGACATCAGACACCAGAACAAACAGTGTGGGAATCAAAGTGCAAAAAAGGTCAAGGAGGTAGATTTATGCTCAGAATAAGATCTCATTGTTAAAGATATCTAGCAAAGGTCTCAGCTATTTCTCACCAGAGTTCCATTCAGGCCAAGACAGAATTAAACCCTGTGCAAAGGGGTGTAAAGGGGAAAATTGGGCCTCAGTTTCCCAATAGGCATGAAGAAATGATTCATCAACATTGTCTCTAAGGGCACTTGCAACCCTTAATCCTTGTTCTATCAGAATTAGTCTGTAGCTTGTCTTAGAATAAATCTCAAAAGAGAAAAGTAGGTAGGAGTTTCAAGGCTTATCATTTGTGTTAGTAACTATCATTGATACTGATGCTTATTCATATCTCTTTTCCTCCAGGGGACCTCAGACCTGCAGCTCCCCTGGTCTCTCAAGCCCTGACAGGTCAGTAACAGTGTTAGAGGCCAAAGGAGCCATGGCAGTTCTGGAGTGTACTACCTGGTCCTCCACGAAGAGAGGAGAGAAAAAAAGGGGACTCATTAAACCTCACAAGGGTTCAGTCCTTGGAGAGATGTGTGCCCCAGGGCAGAGTTCTCCCCCATCCCTTTTATTCCTGCCCATCATGGCTCTGGCACCTCCCACTGAACAATCTCAATTGACTCCATCATGAACCTGACCCCCACCCTTAGCTCAGCAGAATGCTAGGCTGGAAGTTGACATGAGGGAGGGCAGAGGTACCTTTCGGTGGTCCATGAAATGTGTGGGGATCAGGGAGGAGCCAGGGATGCAGATAAAGGGAGTGAAGAGTTAGACTGGGGAATTAGAGGGAGAGGATTTGATGGAAACCCTTTCTTATTCATCACTGGCCTGACTTTCATCCACAGATGACCCTACTTTGCTGCGCTTTTTGGAGCAGCATCGGGTACCGCTGGTGGATCGAGTGACATCGGTGGATGCAGTCCTAGACAGGCTGTATGGGCAGGTGCTGAGCGAGGAGCAGTATGAGAGGGTGCGGGCTGAGCCCACCAATCAAGACAAGATGAGGAAGCTGTTCAGCTTCAGCAAGTCCTGGAACAGGGCCTGCAAATGTCAACTCTACCGAGCCCTGAAGGAGACCCATCCTCACCTAATTATTGATCTCTGGGAGAAGTGACGCAGTGGAGGAGACTAGGGGAGCTAATGACAAGCTCGGCAGCTGAAGTCTGAACACCTGCTTACGAGTCCTGGCTCTGACTGTCTAGGCTTTGGGTCTAGGTTTCTTCAAGTCTAAACCCATTGCCATCGCCCAGCCGGAGTGGCTCAGTTGGTTGAGTGTCATCCTGTGCACCAAAAGGTTGCTGATTCCATTTCTGGTCAGAGCACATATCTAGGTTTCAGGTTCAGAAGGCAACTGATTGATGTTTTTTATCTCTCTTTCTCTCTCTCTCTCTCTCTCTCTCTCCCCCTCTCTTCCTCCTTCTCTCTCTAAGCATGTCCTCAGTGAGTATAAATATATAAACAAACAAACACATTGCCATTTGAGTTGCCTTCTTGCCCTAAAGTTATGGAGCATTGATAATATCTTTGCTGGGCATTATATATCCATGCTCAGTGATGCCACACGGGCTCCCAGTCTGCCTCCCTATTATTAGGGACCAGTAGATATTTGTATACCATGATACATTTTTTATATCATGACCCTACATTTATGTATCATGCTACTACATTACAGTAAGGCAGAATACTGGGTAGACAGAGGGCCTAAGATTGAGAAATATGTGGGAGACGTTAGATTTAGACCAGGGGTGGGCAAACTTTTTGACGCGAGGGCCACAATGGGTTCTTAAACTGGACTGGAGGGCCGGAACAAAAGCATGGATGGAGTGTTTGTGTGAACTAATATAAATTCAAAGTAAACATCATTACATAAAAGAGTACGGTCTTTTTTTTTCAATAGTTTTATTCATTTCAAACGGGCCGGATCCGGCCCACGGGCCGTAGTTTGCCCACTGCTGATTTAGACTGTATAGTGTACTTACTTGTGAGACAATACTGAGGGGCAGCACAGGAAGGCATAAGTTTTAATGGGAAGACAAGGGCAGACTATTGCGCAGGCCTGCTATTGGAAGAGGGAGGCAGGAGCAGGAAAGAATGAGCCCAGATAGTGATGGGTCAATAAAAGGCAGAGAAGAGCCAGGAGGAAGGACTCTAGGTCCTGCAGGGCCAGCCCCTACTATCTAGAGCAGCCGTGGGCAAACTACGGCCCAGGGGCCGGATCCAGCCGTTTGAAATGAATAAAACTATTGAAAAAAAAGACCGTACCCTTTTATGTAATGATGTTTACTTTGAATTTATATTAGTTCACACAAACACTCCATCCATGCTTTTGTTCCGGCCCTCCAGTCCAGTTTAAGAACCCATTGTGGCCCTCGAGTCAAAAAGTTTGCCCACCCCTGATCTAGAGCCTGAGTGTCAGCAGCCATGCCCTCTGCACCCCTACAATTTCCCTGTAACCTTGCTCCCATGACACCTCACCCCCTTCAGAACAGGCCTGAGAAGGCAAGGCTGACCCGGGCAGGGATCCCTGCTTTTGCTCAAGGGAAGAAGGTACTGGGTCCTCCCTGACTGGGCAGCTTCAGCCCTGGGGCAAGCAAAAGTGAGCTCAGGGCTGGTCAGTGCACAGAGAAAAGAGCTTTATTGCTTGGGCCCCCACAAGACAATTTCCACACCACACTAAGTCATTTGGATACAAACTTGGCAACATCATCAAAGCCTCTAGCCCAGGGGTGGGCAAACTTTTTGACTCGAGGGCCACAATGGGTTCTTAAACTGGACCGAGGGTCGGAACAAACGCATGGATGGAGTGTTTGTGTGAACTAATATAAATTCAAAGTCAACATCATTACATAAAAGTTTTATTCATTTCAAACGGCAGGATGTGGCCCTTGGGCCATAGTTTGCCCACGGCTGCGCCTCTAACTAGGCAGCATCAAGTGCATCTGATAACAATTGCACCAGCCCAGTTAATAAAGTGACCTTCTCATATCCACTCCCTCAGTCAAAACCAATGACCACATTCCCGCTACTTCCCCTGACAGCACCCTGTGTCAGTGCACCATCAGGGCCTACCACAGCAGCAGGCTCAGGGCAGACACTGAAGCAATGTTTGCTGAATAAGCAACGAATGAATTCTCAAGTGACAATGCTCTTTTACAAGTTGTGTAGGTTGTCCCCCACCTCCACTGTCCCCCACCCCATCATTACACACACACACACACACACACACACACACACACACACACCAATCTTCCTTCCCTCTGCAGAGCTGAGTCCTTCTCCCTCCCAGGCCTCCCCTAACAGGAACACCACCTTCCACCTGAGCTACTTTAGCTCTTGGATTTCATCATCCAGGCTCCTCCCAGCACCGGAAAAAGGTTTCCCGCCACAGTCTGGAGGGCCCCCATCTGCGAAGCTACAGGTCTGTGGGCCTGTGTCCAGGAGGTCTGCAGCCTCTGGTCCAGCCCTCCAGAACTCAGTGAGAAGTGTCCCTTCCTGGCAGGACAGCTCCTTGGGCGATGGGCCTCTGCTCAGCTCCCAAGCGATGGTGGTGGCTGCAGTGAAGCCTAAAGCAGGAAGAACGCACAGTCCTGTGGGAACAGGGGCACCACCCTGACAAAGGCCGCTCACTGTGCCCTGAACTCCTGCAAAGTCCCTGAGGGCTCAGGCCCCCCATCCCCCGCTCAGAGACCTGTCTGCACAGCTCCGGGCACAGCCTCCTCTTGGCAATGCCCAGCTCGGGCCAGGGCGTCCACCATCTTCACGGGCCTCTTTGGAAGGCCTCGGGCAGTGGTAGGCTCATCCCTTACAGAACAGTCTAGCGGCTGTGCGCGCCCTAAACACACAATGACAGGGTCCCTGCGCGTGCCCCCACCTCACAAAGTGGATGGGTCCGCGGACATTATCCTATTATAGGCGGGGCCCAACTGCACCCCAAGATTCTAACTGCCCTCTTGTCTAACGTTCAGGTGCAAACATAGACCCTTATTTTATTATTGGCAGCTGCTTCGACATTCCTACTGGTGGACAAAGGTAGTGACAAACGGAGAAGAAAAGCAACAACATTAAAAGCTAAAGCGCGGACCTCCGAAGCAGGGCGCCGCATGTGAGGTCCTTCCCAGACTCTGGGCAGGGCCCTCAGGGCCGGGGCGTGGGGAACACGGTGACACAGTTCGGTGTTTTTTCATGTTTCTGCGGGGCTGTTGCTTAGTTGCGCGCACATCTAGTTCCAAGGAGAAGACTGGGAGGGGGCAGCGGGGCTGAAGAACTGGGAACCGGCCGGGTTGCAGCCCTGGGAGCTCCACTTCACAGCAGCGTCGCGGGAACCCATAACGAGGGGGAAGGGGGGGCGGGAATTGGGGGGATGGGGCTGGCCGCAGAGGAGCAGGAGGCGGGCGAGGGTAGAAAGTACTGGGAAGTCGAGGTCTTCCTAAGAACCACGGGCGGAGTGCGGGCGGGGCCGGGTAGCAGGACCTGAGCCCGCTTCTCCTCGGCTCCGATGGCGCCCTACCTGGGCGCAGGAACAGGGGGACCTTCCCTGGGGTTGGGAGGTGGGAGGAGGCGGCTTCTCAGAGCTGCGATGGGGTGGGGCCTTGAAGGTAATAGGTAGGAGTTGAGGTCTTGGTGTTGGCATAATAATGCAGTGATTCTTAATCTTTTGGGGAGTAGTGACTCCCTTAAAAATGTTATAAAAGTTATGAGCCATCGGAAAAACAAAACGAAACAAAAAAGCCATCTCACAGAAGACTTAAATCTCATTTTCTGAAAAAAAAAAAAGCTAAAGCGCACGCAGCGCGTCTCCCAAACACAAAGTGCGAGCCCTTCTTTTCCGTCCTCAACCCACCCCCACCCCCACCCCCACCCCCACCCCCACCCCCACCCCCACCGGCCCTGCGCCCACCCTGTCCCCTCAGGCACCCTGTACAGGAGTATGGGTAAACAGACGGGAGATGATGGAGAAGGCGACGGCCGCGTCGGTAAAAATGGAGAGGTTCGGGAAATGGTCCAGTGGGGGCGCCTCCTCCTCGGGCAGGGGACCTCTCAACCCAGGCACCGCTTCTCCTGGCTCCTCCTTCTGCCTCCGGCTGGTGGCAGATGTTGGCTCCCCGCAGGTTCCAACCCCAGGGCGCTCCAGGGCCCGCGTCTGGGAGGTCTCTGCGCAAAAACATTGTTTGTTTTCATGGCAACCGGACTCCGAGCAGAGGAGGGAGGGAGTGCGAGGTGCTTGCTGGGAGCCAGGGGGACAAAAGCAGAGCTTGACCTGAAAGAAAAAATGCAGAGGGCCAGCCAGGATCCCAGCTGTGCGCAGGGCTTCCCCAAGATTTTATTTCTCCTTTTAAAAGAAACAATTATTGCCCTAACCGGTTTGGCTCAGTGGATAGCGTCAGTCTGTGGACTGAAGGGTCCCAGGTTCAATTCCAGTCAAGGGCATGTACCTTGGTTGCGGGCACATCCCCCGTGGGGAGTGTGCAGGAGGCAGCTGATCGATGTTTCTCTCTCATTGATGTTTCTAACTCTCTATCCCTCTCCCTTCCTCTCTGTAAAAAAAATCAATAAAATACATTTTAAAAAATTTAAAAAATCATAATTCTCCCCTTTTAAAAAAAAAACAATTATTGTGGGGGTCTTTTTTTTTTAACTTAATACATGAAACAACTAATACATATGGAAAATGCAAGTGTGAAGCCACTAGAAGCAAAATCAGTGACAAAATAAAAGCTCCCACAGTCCCAAGACCCAGAGACATGGCCAAGGAGTTGCTGCTTTCCTTCCCTTCTTCCTTTTCCCATCTCCCTACATCTACATCTATATCTGTGTATCCTGAA